CAAAAGAATATTTATAAATAAGCTTCAATAACCCCTTGTAGCAAATCGGCACTATTCATTCCTAACACTGACTATTCCATTAGTACTGAATTGTCCATAGTCTGATCATATGTCAGTTATCACGATTTAATGTAGGAATAGTTTTGTCCCAGTCTCTGGGCTCTTCTAAAATGGAGTGAMATTGCATATTTTAAAATCMTTTTGATTGTTATTTGTTAATATTAAAATATTTAATTGAAGCTTTGCCACGGATTACGTATTACGTACCACAACTGTCCTGSAAGCAAAGTGATTCCATCAAACTACAGTGTAATACAACAGGGTTCCCATCACCTCGTGTTGGGTGGACACACGTCAATGATACCCATCAACGGATTGGCAGCTCTTCAGATATTTTATTGAACATAACTGGCAAAAGATCAGGAGGGCGATATTGTTGTAATGCAGATAATGGATTCGGTAAAGATAAAGCCTGCACAGTAGTAAATGTCACAGGTATGTATAGAATTATTTTAGCATTTTGCATGACGCATTGTAACAAACGATGTAACAATGTATAACATCATCATTCATGAAGGCTGTGTGAATWATTGTACTRAAAAAATGTCATTCAAATATCGAGCCTCAGCACAACTCTATATCTCTGCATTAAGAGTAATATGTTCAAATAAAGTCGAAAGCYTGGCTGATTGAGCGTTCAAGAAGTAGATGACTGAGGTACAAATCAAAGTTAATGTTCTATTGTCTTTTTTAACGATATAACCTGTTCTCATGGAATGGTTTCTTACCCAAGTACGTAAAATATACAGTAGATGCCAGGTTACTTGGACTGGGTCATAGAATCTGGCGGGTCATGGATTGATACCAGGTACAAGGAAGGATGCCATACTATCCGATAGTGCTGAAAACATGCTAAAAAGATGTTGGTAAAACATACYTGGGATTTAACAAAATATATATTTTCCAACTCAGTTCACTTGGTTAACCTTGCTAAAATAAAAGTCCTTTAATGTGTAAATTCAATATATTGCAAAGCTAATCATTGGCTGGTTGTTTAACTACACAGCTCTTTTACCTTTGCTTTCAGAATATGAGCCGGTGAATACAAGGCTGGTAGTAAAACAGAAAAACAGAGGCGATGTCATTATCATTCACATAGAATGCAAAGCTGTTGCTTCGCCTCCTGCCAAACATTTCATAATGACAATTGATAACAAACAATACAATTCGAGTAATGGTGTAAAGACTATCGAAGTACCAGCTCCAAGCACAGACAAAATATACCACATAGCTCGTGTGAGTTGCATTCCACGGAATAAATATGGACATGGACCAATGAAGAAAGATGTTTTTCNTGGACGAGGAAAATTCCGAGGACTGACAAAATTGGATGAGGCCGTAGGCCGAGTCCAATTTGGCAGTCAAAGGAATTTTTCGAGTCTAATTATTTCTTGATTGGGGAGCATGAAATCCCATTACCTATTAATTATATAGCTGCCTAATTTATCCTATATCAACAAGACCTGTCCAATTAAGAAAATAATTGGACAGTTACTTATGTGGGATTAATGAGAAGCTGTATAATTAACTAATTAATTAATCCATCTATCCGTTGTTTCCCTTTTCTATCTGTCTGTTTGTCTGTGAGTCTGGATCTATAGCTATAAAAATTGATTGTCTATCATTTATAAATATATTCATGTTTCACTTAGTAAAACCTCACAATTACCGCTCAAGCAATGGATATCGTTTCATATTCACTAGTTCGACCAACCACAGTTCAAGAAACTCTATGTTCAAGTCTAAAACAATACTAACATTAATCTATTGTTTCAAAAATTTGGAGTGAGAGAGGGTAGGGGTTACACCTAAGCTATGTTGTCTTCTGAGTAACTGTATGTATTGCTATTTTTTACACCTTGAATTCATGTATTTGTTACTTTGTATTAGTATAATTATTTATTATTATTTTAACATATTTTTTTTAGATATGGTCCGTTTTCAACCATTTCGATCATTGTCTTTCGTCTCCTTTCATCATGCTGTTTCAAGCATTATGGTCCTTTTCTGTTTTAGTCCTGCAGGTACGTTAGTTTTCCTTAGCACTGTTTTAATTCTCACTGCTACACGTTAATCGAGACAAAAGTTGCGATTGGTATATTATATATTAGCTGTTATGAATCTCGCGTTCTGATTGGTTAGGGMCGCTTGTTTTACGAAAGCTAACAACAMGCGTGCGAATTTTTTATTTTGTCAATCGTATCCCAAATAACGGATTACGTACTTTCATGGATTATATACTTTGCATTCTACGAAAAGATTTAAAAATGCATGCTGTGTTGTGTTCAAAACGGAAAACTTATAGGAATTGTGGAAATTGTTTTTTTCTGTGAGGAGAGCGTAATTAGTTCAAATTATCGCCGTGATTAACCTTGACTTGTAGTTCTCTTATCCTAATAATGAATGGCTTTACTCCCTCATGAGTTTCATTCAGTATCTGCATTGTCCTTTTCTGCCGAGTGGATCCGCATGCTACAATGTGATGACGAAATTTATCGTCAGTTAGAGGACACACATAAAAAACTGATGTCAATTTTCTTTACAATAACAAAAACCATAAAAACTTCTCATTTTACTGATCAAAACAACTAACGGAAAGAACGCGCGCTCGTTGACGTCAGATTTATCTCATTGTCCTCTTATTGATGATAAAAAATAACCAATCAGCGCGCGAGAAATTTGTTAGTTATTATAAAAAAACGTTTGTCTATAGTCTTACGTCATCTACTTACGAACGCTACGCGAAACTTACTTTCGAACCTCGTACAGAAAACAAAGSCATCTTATTCGATAAAGGCTTGAATAGCTATTTATATCAGGAGCTTTAATTTCACTTTTCGATGGAAAAAAGCACAGTGAGAGATCAGGAAGTCACACCTATAAGCAAAACAAGTGACAAGCGATCAAAGCCGTCTATCACAAAAAGAGGTTTTGAAACCTTGATTTATTACGGGATTCGCTTTAATCTCAATAAAATAAACAAAAAAAACTGAGTGAAGTACAAATCGGAAGCAAAATATAAGGTCAGTTAAATTAGATCATTTAAATTTAGCGAATTACTTTAATATTTTTTTAATTACGAAAGTCATTGGCGTGTCAACAAAACGGCACAGGGTAGTATCCACGAGTTCGCCAAATGCAGTTTGATTAAAGTTAGTAAAGTTGGTTTTTTCGTATTCTTTTCCAGTTGGGATTTCATGGCTTGCTGTACCAGATGAACACACCAGCGTAGAACAAGGACGTCCTATTTTCCTGAGCTGGCATTACAAGATGGACGACAACGAAACATTTCTGTCCTCTAAGATTGGTTATTTTGAAGAATCGAGGTTATACACTTCTATAGCTTCAAGACATCTGGGAGAAAATACATATTACAGATACCTAACAAAGTATTCAATACTTGGCAAAAATAACGTTGCCCTTATTGTGAACAGTACTAAGATTGGAAATAATATCACCTACTGCTGTCAAGTGGAGAGGAAATTAGTTGGGGGTAAAAAAGAAGACAGACGGTGTTCTAAAGTATTCGTATACGGTAAGTCTTATTCATATAATCACAAAAGAATATTTATAAATAAGCTTCAATAACCCCTTGTAGCAAATCGGCACTATTCATTCCTAACACTGACTATTCCATTAGTACTGAGTTTTCCATAGTCTGATCATATGTCAGTAAACACGATTGAATATGGAATAGTTTAGTAATACTTTGAACAGTTCTTAAACGAAAGAATAAGAAGTCGGTCCCAGTCTCTGGGCTCTTCTAAAATGGAGTGAAATTGCTTATTTTAAGGAGGCTCTGGGTATTTTTGGAGTTATTTAAGACGAAGTTGTAGCCGTTTCAATGCGGCCAGGTGTGCCAGGCCAAAAATACCCAGAGCCTCCTTAAAATTATTTTGATTGTTATTTGTTAATATTATAATATTTAATTCAAGCTGTGCCACGGATTTCGTATTACGTACCAAAACTGTCCTGCAAGCAAAGTGATTCTATCAAACTACAGTGTAATACAACAGGGCTCCCATCACCACATGTTGAGTGGATCCACGATGATACCCATCAACGGATTGGCAGCTCTTCAGATATTTTATTGAACATAACTGGCAAAAGATCAAGAGGGCGATATTGCTGTGATGTAGATAATGGATTCGGGAGAGATACAGCCTGCACAGTAGTAAATGTCACAGGTATGTATATAATTATTATAGCATTTTGCATGACGCATTGTAACAAACGATGAGGTAACAATGTATAACATCATCACTCATGAAGGCTGTGTGAATAATTGTACTGAAAAAGTGTCATTCAAATATCGAGCTTCAGCACAACTCTATATCTCTGCATTAAGAGTAATATACTCAAATAAAGTCGAAAGCCTGGATGATTGAGTGTTTAAAATGTAGATGACTGAGGTACAAATTAAAGTTAATGTTCTATTGTCTTTTTTAACGATATAACCTGTTCTCATGGAATGGTTTCTTACCCAAGTACATAAAATATACAGTAAATGATAGGTTATTCGAACTGGGTCATAGAATCTGGGTCATGGATTGATACCAGGTGCAAGGAAGGATGCCATACTATCCGATAGTGTTGCAAACAAGTTAAAATGATGTTGGTAAAACATACCTGGGATTAAGCAATATATATATATATTTCAAGTCCGTTCACCTGGATACATATATGAAATAAAAGTCCTTTAATGTGTAAATGTAATATATTACAAAGCTAATCACTGGCTGGTTGTTGACTTCAAACTGCTCTTTTACCTTTGCTTTCAGAATATGAGCCGGTGAATACAAGGCTGGTAGTAAAACAGAAAAACAGTGGCGATGTCATTATCATTCACATAGAATGCAATACTGATGCTTCGCCTCCTTCAGATAATTTTATAATGTCAATTGATGATAAACAATACAATTCGAGTAATGGTGTAATTGAAGTACCAGCTCCAAGCACAGACAAAATATACCACATAGCTGTCAGTTGTATTCCATTCAATAAATATGGACATGGACCAATCAGGAAAGATGTTTTTCCAGTGTACGGTAAGAGAACAAAAGAAAATGAACATTTTTATGCCAATCAAAAACAAGAAAGAAAAAAGCCAATATTAAATCGTGTGGGCATACATATTTTGTGTGTTCATTGCTCGCTGAATGCAACGAGTTTGGTTTCATTCTAGCTCCCTCAGCTTTATCCTCAATTAAGGTAACGTAGGAAAAGACAACCCCTTCCCTGAAAAAAATAGCAATACTTGATAAAACACAAAGAAACAAAACAAAACAAAACAAAACAAAAAACAAAAAAAAACGCACACTTCACCACACACACACACACACACAAACTAATAAACAAACAAACAAACAAAAAAGCAAAGCAATGTAAATAAAATGAATTCCTCTTTTTGTTTTGTTTATGCGAGCCAGCTCCTCCAACCTTCATAACTCCACTACCCACGTTGTACAACATGACGATCAGCGGCATAACTATAAAATGTGAAACCAAAGGAATCCCAACTCCAAACATTACATGGATGAGTGGGGATTCGGGAGATATTGTAAGCACTGGAATATATTACAACGTCTCGTATGTAAAGTGTGCTACAAAAACGATGACGTTCTTCTGTCACGCAAGGAATGTAATGGGGAACATCAGTAGTCCAGAAATACGTGTTAATGGTAAGGAACTATTTATAAGATATACAACCGATGGTTTTTATTCATTCCAAGATTAATATTATGTGTGCTGTAGGCAGAATATAAGTTTCAGGACTTTACCGAGTCATTGCTTTTATTTATTACGCCCATTCAGTCATCCACACACGCGTTAATGGATCCTTTCATCCTGACCCATCTGATACATCTTATCATGCATCTTTCTTTCTTTTTCTTTCTCGTTTTGTTATTTTTTCCCCAATATATTAACAATTTTGATTAATGGTGAACATTTACCGAGCTGTCATTTAAACACTATATTCACTGAAACTGAGGGTAATAAATAGTATAATTTTAGTATAATTTTTCACTTGATTATCGGAGGAAAGACGAAATCCAGAATTGAAATAAAAACTTTTTGGTATTACTTCCGCTCTGGTAAAGTTTGGAAAATCTTATAATCACAGCTCCAGCAGTGATTATCGTCTTAGAATCACTCATTGACATGTTCGACCAATCACAGCGCGAGAAGCTCTATATCCATGTTTAATTATACAATTAATCATATCCTTTTTGTAATCACTACCAAATCCTGCAATCTGCTGATTAGTTCAAAGGAGCGATTAATTCCCTTATAGTACACTCAACAAAATTACTCGACTCTGATTGGTCGAGAGGAGTACAATTATAGCGTTAATTGTACTACGTAGGAGTACCGAATTAAGTCGCTATGGCAACACAGCCAAAACAATGTCAAAACAATAACTTTTTATCATTTTGTACTTAAAAACATATAAATGAAATTTTAAAGCCGTAAGAACTAATCTTTCATATGCATTTCAGTTGCGCGATGGACTGAAAGTCGGCCGCCAAACAAACAAAGATGAACGGCGTCGCTTCGCATTTTTTACTGAAATTTTGTTGAGTGAACTATAAACAAAAAATCACACGATCTTCTCGTACAATTTGGAATTTTTGGAATGTTTTGAAAGTTCTTTAATTGCACTCGCTTAAAGGCTCTTGCAATTACAAGAATTCTCAAAACATTACTGGTGTCTATTAATTTCCAAATTGTACTCGAGATCGTGCGATTTCCTATACAAATCGCATCCTTAGGAGCTTTTAATTGCATCCTTCAAAAAAATTAACAATAAAATAAAACAAAATAAAACAAAAAAATCAAAGAAAAAAGTTTTTTTAGATGATTTTTTTGTTCGCATTTAGTTCTTCTACTACATTTAATTGATTATTCTGCACTCTTTATTGTGTCTTTTTCTTGTGTATGATTACAAAAAGGATATGATTAAGTGGTAATTGAACTTCGTGTCGTGCAATTTTGGTTTGAAATCAAACTTGCAATTACAAATCACACTCCCGCTACGCAGTCGTG